GGTATTTTCAAGATAGGTTTTCATGAACTATTTGCTCAGATGGACTTCAAATCTCAAACCTCCTGATCTCTACTTCTGAGCTAGCTAGGATTACAGACATGAACCATCAGGGCCCAGTGTGTCAATCTCTTCATCCTTGTTTTTTCTTTGTGGCATGGCTTGCACTTCCCATCTAAGTAGACCTGTGTCTCTGAATGTGAGTCCAAATCACAACCAGTTTCTTGGGTCCACACTAATTCTAGAAGTAGTCACTTGCTTAGCCAGTGGAAAGAGGTTGCCTTTGGGGTTTAGGGATTTTTAAGGTGCAGGGTCTTCTGCTTTCCCCAGAAGAGAGGCATGAGTGTGAGATCTCTCCTATATAATCCCCCTCCACAGCACCAGTGAGTAAGCTAGGAAGGGTCATTCCTTTTTGACTTGTTTAATCAAAATGGCAAATGAAAACATGCAAATGTAAACAAACAAGGCAACTTTTCTATGTCTGAAATTTTTTTCATGTATAACCAGAATCATATTCATATATAATGTCACCAGACACTGGTAGAGCAATAGTAAAAGTGATTTGATGTCATATCTGTAAAGCTACATAAAACCACAAAGCTGTCAGTGTACCCTTGAGTTTGATATGTGTGACAGCGCCAAGGACATGTGCTGATGATGTATTAGGACATCACACTGAGAGATTGAACTCCATGTAACGTATTTTTTTTTTGTGTGTGGGACTGGGGTTTAAACTCGGCTTCATGCTTACAAAGCAGGCACTCTACCATTTGAGTCACCTCTAGTCCATTTTGCTCTGGTTATTTTCAAGATGTGGGTCTCATGAACCGCAATTTTTCCGCTGTTCAGAATCACATGTGTTGCTGGTTCCCTCAAAGTTCCCATTTCTGGGAAAAGACACAGATAACATTAGGCTGGGGAAAGATCTCTTCCTTAGCTCAACAATGACAAACCTGACTTTCTCTGACTAAGGCAAGGATCTAGTCTCTTGTACACTTCAGATTTCAAACTGAACACTACTATCAGCTCACTTCTCAGAATAGCATCTGGTCTAACTCACTCACTTTACAGAGAGAAGAAATAATTAGGCATAGGTGCCATAATAGATCAGTGACATACAGCCCCACCACTATGGCATCACCTGTGATTGACTGGTACTTAATTGTCTCTCTTCCTGGCTATGTGATACCATCACCTTAACTGTCTGCAACAGCCTGAATCTGGAAACAGCTTTGTAAAGTTGGACATATGACATTTTAATGTCCCCCCCCCTTTTTTTTTTTTGGTGGTACTGGAGTTTGAACTCATGAGCTCACACTTGCAAAGCAGGCTCTACACTTGAGCTACTCTGCCAATCCTGTGTGTGTGTGTGTGTGTGTGTGTGTGGTTTTTTTTTTTTTTTTTGCAGTACTAGGGTTTGAACTCAGGATCTACTTTGAGCCACTCCACCAGTCCTTTTTATGTGAAGGTGTTTTTCAAGATAGGTTCTTGTGAACTATTTTCCCAGGTTGGCTGCGAACCTCAATCCTCCTGATCTCTGCTTCCTGAGTAGCTAGGATCAGAGGTGTGAGCCTCTGGTGCCCGGCTTGTGTGGAGGTCTTTTTGAGGTAGGGTCTTGCTTTTTGGTTGAGTTGGCCTCAAACAACAATCTTCTGGAACTCTGCCTTCTGAATAGCTAGGATTACAGATGTGAGCCACCAGTGCCCAGAAATATTACTACTTTATGATACAACCCAGGAACTCATCTGGAAGAGGGACATAAGGCAAGATAGGAAGGAAGGGGATATGTGGAGCTTTCATACTAGCCATGTTCACCAACCCTGAAGTTCTCCACACTCCATAACTCAGGGATTTTCAAGTAGGTTTCTGTTATGTTCACAAGATTGATTTACTCAATGGACCTTGGTATTTAACTCAACATAGTCTTTCTCCCTTGAGCAGAGGTCCAGGGGATGGGATCAACATTCCAATCCTTTTGTCAAAGACAAATATGAATAGTTTTGAAACTTCCACCTTTTGAGCATGCCTTATATTTTTTTCCCAATCTTGAATCTACTTAAGAGTACACATTCACTAGTCAGATCCTTAGTATACAGATAGAATCTTTGCCATCCAGAAATTTCAAGGGTTTAGGAACTCTGGGTCAAAACAATAAAATGAAACAGAATATTGTAATTCCTTCTTCTCCTCCTTCTTGACTGGGGTTTGAACTCAGGATTTCACACTTGCAAAACAGGTCCATTTGAGCCACACCTCCAGTCCATTTTGCTCTGGTTATTCTGGAGATATGATCTCTCAAACTATTTGCACAGGCTGGTCTTGAACCTCAATCCTATTTCAGCCTCCCAAGAAGCTAGGATCACAGGCATGAGCCACTGGTGCCCAGCTTCAATATCGTAATTTTTAATGAGTAGGTGGTGTGATAGGTAATGGAGAATAGCAGTAAAGAAAATGCCCTTGGCCCAAAGTATCACCATACAAGCTGTAAAACCAATTTCAAATGAGTAATTTAAATCAAAGGATGAGAGAGAGCCTCAGGAGGGTTAAGCCTGAGTCCAGATAGACTTTTTGAAAGGGTTTGGTATTAGGAGGTGTCCAAGATTTAAATACAGAGATGACTACATGAGTCAATAGTGGTGGGGTGGGGTGGAGAGAGAGTTTCAAAAGAAAAAAACAGAATATGTGCTTCCCCGGGCACAGAGAACATGCTGGCAATCACCACCTGGGAGGGAGACAGAACCCCAGAAGCTAGGGAAAAAGAGGAACAGTTCACATTGGATTAATCCTATTCCATGGCAGTGTGTTCACATAAAAAGAATACTTTAATGGCATCTTTTCCTTCTCAAAGGAATGATTATTTGCCAATATTTAAACCCATGTAAAGTAGCTTAAGAGTTTTTCTTATCTAGATTGTAAGTAAATGTAGAAGTAAAGTGGGAACTCTCCTGGTGTTTCACTCAAAGATTTGGGTTCATCACTTTTTTTCTCATTTGGCTCATCATTGTTGGTGTGAAATGGGTGAATAAGCTGGAGTGGGGCAGAAGCCTGAGGCCAGTGACTGCTAGCTGGGGGCCATCTTGACGCTCCAAAGGGAGGGCAATGAAATCCTCTTGGTGCTTCCTGAGCAGCTGTCCTCTCCTGCATGTGGCCTACAGCTGCGCAGAACAGGGACAGAAGGAATGATGACAGTGATAAACTGCAAAGGATGAGGAAGAAAGCTTAAAGTAAGAGACCCAGGTGCTGATGTAATTGGAGTTTCTGTCCTTTCTGAGGTGGTGACTATTGGCCACATGTGGTTTTATAAACAGTGTTTTTGTTTTGGCATACGTACATTTGCTGGTGTCAATCTGTGACTTTTACACGTGAAGAAAATCTGTGAAGGTCTGGCTTAGAGAAAGATGCAATCTCCTGGAGAAAGGTTTCCTGCATTACAGTTTATTTAGGTAAGAGAAACTTAACGTGACCCAGGAATATCTCCCTTTGGTGAATAATAAGATCTGGAAAGACAGAGAGTTTCAAGACTAGGATTGAGGAAAGCAGGTGATAGTGGGCTCTGAGAGTTAAATCCTTAGGTGTCCCTACCTATTTACTAGAGAGCTATTTATTCTTGGGCTCCATTTCAGCCGTCAGTGTGGCCCTGGAGTTTTCAAATATGTTTAACCGTGACAATGCGCATTTTCCTTCTGACTTTGTTGAAGCATCATGACTCTCTGAGCTAGTTCAAAGATTGTTTTCCTTTCCTCGAGATTCCTTTGTATAATATTGGTGCCATATAACTGCATTTTTGTATGCATTGAATAACTGTACTCCCTTATTTTTATTTTCTTTGTTGAAAATGAATAGATTGAGAGAGATGTGAGAAAGTATTCACCATCTGCCTCATTCCATATTCCTGAGGTGTGACATCAGGCCCTTGTCCTGTTCAGTGGGGCCTGACCTGCCCTGGGTACCCCTTCTCTGAGGTCCTGGTGAGAAAGAAAGGCCCCTGGAAACTTCCATTGTGACCTCTCTGTGATCTTAAAGGGTGGGAAAAAGGAAAACCAGGATGGATCAGAATGAGGACACTATGAGGACTAGGACACGACCAATCAGACCATTTCATGGACAGCCAACCAGAACGCTGCTTTCTACACACCTAATTAGCACAGAGATTGAGCAATCCCTGGAGAAAATGGATAAAAACCTCCGAACTGACACTTCTCTGGCAACCCACTCTGGACCCCTTCCTTCCAACAAGAGCTTTCATTCTTTCTCTTAATAAAATTTCCCACCTCTATACTCACCCTTCATTGTCCCTGAAGTTCATTTTTTGGCTTCATGAGACAAGAACCCGGAACACCAACCCTCCCTCTGGCTAAATACCTAAGCCAGTAAGGATGAGTGGAGGCTTTTGGTCCTTCATAAACCTCTCATAACACTGGGTTGCTTTCTTGGACACTAAGACTGGATTCCATGAGCACACTTGTGACCCCATCTTGAGGAGAAAGAAGCTGGAGGAACCACTAAATATGGTAAGAAATGGGTGTCTGGTCTGGAGACAGGACAAGTTATGGTAGGTGCATTTATCCTCCAGGCTAGGCCAGATCTGAAAGAGGAGGAAATATCGCTGGCACTGAGCAATATTCAGCAATGCCTTGAGCAAGTGGACTAGTGGGACAAGGGCAGTCTGTCTAACTAAATTTGTAAGCAGGGACTGTGAAACCATCTTTGCAGCTGCAGAGAAGGCTTGGTGGTTTTTCTCAGAAGTCCCCATCTGTAGCAAGAACACGTTGAGAACAGAGGTGACAAAGCTCTAAATGCACACTCCAGAGATCAGTGAACTTTGGAGGGAAACGGGGAATAAAGGGGGAGCTGAAAAAGCAATAAAAAGGGAAAACCCAAAGCATTTTAGCAGACTACCGGTTTCCAGATCCCACACAAACTGTGGTCCTGGTTCAAATTCATCTAAAGGACCTCTCTCAGTTTCCCCACCAAAACCATTATCCATTGAGGTCAGAAGCCAGGCCAGAGAAGGAGTAATCCCCATTATCAAGGAATTAAAAAAACAGGGACTCCTAATTGAATGTTCTAACCCTTACACTATTCCTATCCTGGGAGTTAGGAAGAGACCTAACAAGTGGAGACTGGTTCAGGACCTCCATTTGATTGATGAGGCGGTGATCCCTCTCCACCCAGTAGTTCCAAACCCTTATATGCTTCTGGCTCAGATACCTCCAGATGCTACTTACTGTTCTGCCCTGGATTTAAAGGATGCCTTCTTTTGCATCCCCTTGCATCCGGAGAGCCAGCCCATTTTTGCTTTTGAGGACCCCACTAGAAAGGTTGGCCAGGTTACAAGGACTGTCCTCCCTCAGGGATTTAGAGAAAGCCCCCATCTCTTTGGGCTGGCTCTGGCCCAAAACCTGTCAGAGTGAGACAGACAGTGTGTTGCAGTGCATGGATGACCTCCTCCTCTGTAGGCCAGCAGAGCCTGTCATTTCATGAGCTACTGAGGTTCTTTTAAACTGTCTGTCCAAAAGGGACGATAAGGTGTCCAGGGAAAAAGCTCAATTGTGCCAGACCAAGATCACATACTTGGGGCTCATCTTGGAGAAAGGAACAAGGACTCTAGAAGAGGACAGGATATGTTCAATCCTGACTTTCCCTTTACCCAAAACCTTAAAGCAGTTGAGAGATTTCCTGGGAGTGACGGGCTATTGTAGAATTTAGATCCCAGGATATGCAAGTTTGACCCAGCCCTTATATCAGACGAGATCAGGTGGCATGGCCATAGATCCAGCCCTATGTCAAATCCTTAAAAAGGCCCAGAAGCACTCCCAATCTCTCATTGAGTGGGAAGACAGTGCCATAAATGCCTCCCAGCAACTAAAAAGGGCTCTAACTAGGGTCCTGGCCTTGGGACTACCCACACATGACAAATTCCAATTATATGTTTATGAAAAGGGAGGACTGGCTTTGGGAGTAGTTACCCAGCTCTGTGGCTCTGTGGCCCAACTCCCCAACCAGTGGGCTATTTGAGCAGGGAGTTGGATCAAGTAGCCAAAGGAGGCCTGGATATTTATGGGCAATTTCAGCAGTTAGTCTTCTAGTACCTGAGGCTCTGAAACTCATTTTGGGCTGACCTCTGACAGTATACACCCACATGATGTGGGAGGAATTTTAGACTATAAAGGAGGACTCTGGCTATCAGATAGTCATTTCCTCAAATCCCAAGCCCAGCTGCTAGAAGGAACAGATAACTTTAAGGGCTTGTAAAAACTTAAATCCTGCCTCCTTTCTAGTAGAGGAGGAAAGGCAGCCCACATATTCTTGTGAAGAGGTACTTATGGAGAAATGTGCTGCTTGACCTAACATCAGCCTCTAGACAACCCAGATTTCACATTATACATGGGAAACAGCACTGACAAGGTCCTGCAAGACCTAATGCCCTAGGCTGTTCTTTCCTGGAAGAGGGCAATCATACATGCCATACCAGTAGGGTCAGTCATCCATCCCAAGAGGAAGGAGACAACTTGGGATTCCAGTCTTCCTGTTGCACATACAGGAAAAATCGATCTTATTTAAAGTGCAAACAGAATATTTAGTCCATTCCAGCCAGGCATTCATTTCCCCATAACCAGTTTCAATAAGCTATAGTCTGTCTTAGGTCTTTGACCTCTGCTACAGTTATCCCAGTCTGATTATGATGGAGCTGGGGGAGCAGGGCTGGAGACTAGGGGTCACTGTGCTAGTGGGAAGCAATTCTAAAAGAAATGAACCTATAGGATCTGTGGGCCCAATAAGGCTAGCTCCTGATCCACAGTGCCTTAAAACAGATGACTCTGTGGTCATAGAATGGGGATCATTTATGATCAGCCTAAGGAGGTTGCATTGGAGGGGCTGACAACAGGGAGGGGGAATAACTTTCTTAATCTGGATTTTGTTCCTTAATTTCTTTCCCCAATTATCCTTTCCCTTTTCTTTGTGGCAGTAGAAGACTGGTGAGATATATTCCCCAGGTGTAGTCATCCATCCTACCATGTCCCATGCATAACATAGATGTTAACCACGTTCGTAACTACCCTTTTCGTAACCAGGGGTGGGGTCTGCACACACACATATATAGTCTCAGCCCTAGTCTGGATATAATGCTGATTCTCAAGATCCCCACAGGGTATTACAACACATGCATCAAATTCAATAGATGTAGGGGAAGAGGTCTGAGCAATACCCATAGTGGACAGTTTCCCAAGTGAAAAAGGAATAACAGCCCTATTAGTCCCTTTAAGGTTACTTTTGTGTCACCAGGACTTGAAGACATCGCCCATTGTTCCTCCTCGGGAGCTCATTTTGTTCAGGTGTAGTGGGTCCACCCTTTCTCAGCAGTACATGCTGACATTTTGGTAGTGAGTATCACCTGATGAGGTCCCTCCCCGGATGGCTCAAACTTCTTTCCACTCCAAGTCCAGATTAGGATGTAATCTCCTGCTCAGTGTGGGTGTGCTGGAAACTCGAGAGGTGGAGTCTGGGCCAGCAGTCCCTGTTGCCTAAGGGATGACAGAGCTGAAGAGAAACCCAGCACATAATTTTGGAGAAACTGATCTTTGGTTTCAAAGTAGGGGAGGACAGAGGGCTGCCCAAATAGAATAATCCATGTAACATTTCATAAGACGAGATTCCTATGTTCTTCAGGGGGCTGGTGGGGGGGGGGGCTGTACTAATCCTGAGTAAGACTAGAGGTAGGCATTTGATCCATGGTAAACTGGTCTCAAGAACAGACTTAGTCAGTTGCCTTTTTAAACTCTGATTCATTCTTTTAATTTTTCCCAAAGAGGATGGGTGCCATGGAGTATGACTTCCCAGCTGATAACTAATGCCCTTGCCAATTCTCTGCTTATGCTAACTGTAAAGTGACTCCCATTATCTGAATCTATATTTTCAATAAGTCCAAACTGAGGAATTATACAAGCATTCCAACTACTCCATTGCTGGTGGCACTAGATAGAGGCATAGCCTCACCCCAATGAGATGGTCCACTATAACCAGTAAATACGTCAGACAGCCCACATAGGGTTATTCAGTGTAGTCCACCTGAACACTTTGAAAAGGCCTCAGGCCTGGATTTCTTCCCCTTAAAGGTTGTCCCCTTAAGGCCTGTTTGTGAACCTTCCTACAGGTTAGACAGCCTTCAGTGATCTGTTTTGCTTGAGTGTAGATTCCTGGACACACATAAACTCCGAGGATGACATCACACATAGCCTGGACCTCCCAATGACTTCCTTGGTGGAATTGGGTTAATATCCCCCTCATGGTAGGTTTGGAGAGTACTTCCTTCCCATCTAGGAGGCGCCCAGCTTCCTGAGTTGAGCTTTCTCCTGGGGAATGAAAACAGGGGTTAGGAATGTGGTCTGGACAACAGAAGTGAGGTGTGGCATTGGTGTCTCTGGGTGGAGGGCAGCCTCCTCTGCAACTTTGTCAACTAGGTTGTTTCCCTGCATCTCAAGGAAGTGCCTCATTGGTGTCCTGGGGCATGGACTATTGCAATCTCCTCAGTGAGCATAAGATTCTCCAGCAATCTGATAATTAGCTCCTTGTGTACCAGGTCCTTTACTATTAATCAACCCTCTTTCAGTCCAATTTTTCCAGAAGTATGTGCCACCCCAAATGCATATTTAGAGTCAGTATAGATCATTCCTTCTTTGTCTTTTAAGAATTTTAGCACTTGACTGAGTATGAATAATTCACGGGTCTGAGCTGACCATTTATTGGGTAGCCTCTCTTATTCAATAACTTGTTTGTTTGTTTTTTTTCAATAACCTTTAACTTGACTCCATCCACCACTGAATATCCATTATGCTTTTTTCATTGGATAACTCTAGAGGAACCATCTACAAATAGCCTAAGTCCATCCAGGAAGAGAGTTTTCCTAAAATGGGGTCTTATTTTAGGCTGGTATTTAATAAAACCCAGACAGCAATATCAATAGGATCCTGGGCTTTCCCTCCCAGCAGAAATTCCACTGGATTTAAATAGTTTTCAGTGGTGAGGACCAAGTCATCCCTTTCCAGTAGGATGGCATCATATCTTAATATTCTGGAGTTAGTCAGCCACCTTCCTACTTTTTGCTGAAGAATAGTTCTGACCTGGTGGGGTACGCTAATATCAGAAACCCTCCAAAAGTTAATCTTTCACTTTCTTTAGTCAACAGGGCCATAGCAGCAACCACTTGAATACATTCTGGCCATCCTTGAGTTACAGAGTCGAGGAATTTGGATAAATAGGCCACAAGTTATTTCATCCCCCATGCTCCTCAATGAGGACCCCAAGGGCTGTTCCTTTATCTACATTAACAAATAAATGGAAAGGCTGCTCTAGGGAAGGTAGGCCCAATACAGGGGTCATATTTAAGGACTGTTTAAGGCTTTCTATTATCTGGAATTCCTCTGGCTCCCGACATAAAGTATCAGGTTCCTTGTCCAAAAGTTTGGAATAAAGGGTTTTAGTCCAGAGTACATAGGGTTCTAGCCACAGTCTGCAATATCCAATTAAACCCATAAAATTTAGAAGTTCTCTTTTGGTCTCTGGTAGAGGCATACCAGTAATCCCTTCTATTCTCTCAGGACCTAATCTGTGTTTTCCCTTGCTAATCAAATATCCCAAATATTTGACCTCTTCTTCAACAAACTGAAACTTAGTTTCTGAGACTCTTAATCCTTGGCAGTCCAAGAAGTTTAGGAAACTAATTGTAGTATCTGTCACTTCTTTGTCAGTAAGTTCAGATAATAGAAGATCATCCACATATTATAATAAATTCACCTGGGAGATAAGGGCAAATTCCTCCAGCTCTTGTTCTAAGGCCTGGCCAAACAGGGGAGTCAGTGAAACCTTGTGAAGGACTGTTCATCTGTATTGTTGCTTTCTCCCTGTCTGAGGGTCCTCCCATTCAAAGGCAAACATGTCCCTGCTATCCTCTGCCAGAGCAGGCCCAGAATGCATCCTTTAAATCTATAACACTAAACCATTGATGATCTGGAGA